GACCTGCGGAAAATATTAAAAGAACAAGGGATAGGTTTGTGAGTTTGTAACAAAGCCAAAACTTACCTGATATTCGGTTTCCTAAGGTAGAGTTACTATTTTCCGCAAGTAAACACATACGGCCAAAGCTCCTATCAGGATCGTTTGGGACTTGGGCGTTAGCCACTTCATGGAAAATTGACATAACCCACACACATTTAGAAGCTTTTCTGTCGCACTGCTCCGCCATTTACAGATGAGCAAATAGTTTGGAAATGGATCTAAGGCTTTTGAAAATGGGTTGTAATTCGTCTTAATGCAAGCACCTTCACATCTTAAAATTCCACCCCTTCCTAATCAGTGTTTTAATGTGTTCATAACCCTGCTCGATCCAGTCCGTGGATGAACCAGTAATACACAGGTTTATCAAATCCGTGAAAAGTTATGGTCTCTGTCGTCCCGGTTCCGCCCCCAGTCCCAGTCCCAGTCCCAGTTCCATTCCCAGTCCCAGTCCCAGTCCCAGTCCCAGTCCCAGTCCCAGTCCCAGTCCCAGTCCCAGTCCCAGTCCCAGTTCCGCTCTCAGTCCCATTCCCGTTTTCGTTCCCGTTCCCATTCATATTCCCGTTCCTGTTCCCGTGTCCGTGCCCGTGCCCGTGCCCGTTCCCGTTCCCCTTCCCGGTCCCGGTCCCCATCTTTGTCCCAGCCTTTGTCCCGTTCCGTTCCATTCCGTTCTGTTCCGTTTCATCTCGTGCCGTCTCTCCTTCCGTCCTCACTGAACGGGTCGCTTCAGTTGGGCTGCAAAAGGCGTTGGTCCGGTGCCGGACGCCCGCCGGACGCCGGAGGACACAACCGAACCACCGGCTGGCATCGCCGGAGTGGTAGTGCTGTGGCGACCATTAAGCTGGGGAATGCTCGCAGAAATAAGCAAGAGTCGGAGTTGGTTCGGCGACGGTACCTCTGATAGCTGTCTGTCCTGCACCTTTGTTTCGCCACGCGGTATTAATGTCTACAGCTGTGCACTCTACGGAGAATGTCATAACGTACTTGCCGGCAGGTGGGGTGATGGTGAGTGTCTCAGTACTTGGCGTTGGTCGCCCAGCTGTCGAAAAAGCGCACACTTGTTCTCGCAAAGGACAACAAAGACTAAAATGGCACACATAGCAGGGGATGAAGTACAGCTTGGTACCACCGCTCACTCGAAGACAAAACTGATGGACTGATGACTGATGACTGATGTTTCATGACTCATGTTTCATCTCATGGCCATAAAAGCGCGGGGCTGACCAGGACTTGTCAAAATCTTGCGCTCTGGGCTGACTCGTGTCGTGATTGGTCGGCCTGACGTGGCATCGAGCCGAGCATGATTGGGAGCCAGCACTGGTTTGGCAGTTTGACGGGTCACTTATCACTTGACCAGAACTTTAACGGACAATAAGGGTCCCATCAAGCAGACTGATGAGTAATGATTCAGCATGTGGTCGGGTCAACTGGACACCCACTTCAACCACCTCTCGTAACGTTTATATGACTGAGCCGCCGCTCCGTTGTGGAGTGCGTCTGTTAGTTGTAAAAATGACTATCATTGGCTTAACACGATGCTTAATTAGGCGCACCAAGCGCTGCATGACGTGGGGCCTGGGCCTAGCAATACATTCAATCAACCGGTTCGGACTAAATATCTACAAAGGTATGGCGTAACAAATAAATGCATAGATATTTATGCCTAACATCTCTATGTTAGGCGCGGGCTAGATATCTATATGGATATGGGCACTAAATACCTGCGTAACGTCAGCAGATACGGTCCGCTCAGAATTCTTAGAGGCAGATCCGTTTCCAGGAATTGGGATGTTTCCAGGAATTGTGAATTGGGATGGAATTGGAATTGGGATATATATATATATATATATATATATATATATATATATATATGCATATGGGCATTTCGTACCTCTTTAGTGCTCTTATGGCAATTATATGACATTTGTGGCCAATGGCGGTTTCAGTATGCATGACCATGCCTGTATCAAGCCCAAACGCATCATCAACACAATCGCGGTGACGTGGAGCACGGCGTGGTAAGGTTTACCGATGTGGTCCACGTATCTTGGTGAGGTTTACCGATGTGGTCCATGTATCTTGGTAAGGTTTGCCGACGTGGTCTATGCATCTTGATGTGGCTTACCGATGTGGTCCATGTATCTTGGTTTATTTTCCTACCCCCATTAGGGCTCGACGAGCACCAGGAACCACTGGCGGGGCGGGCAGTTTGAGTCCTGTCGGCGGGTCTCCGTAGGCCGGAGAATACCTTCTCTACAGCGTGGCTCATTTTCCCACGCTCGTCAGCTATTTTACCGCTCCCGAATTTCAATCACCATCCCGCAGAAAAACCAACGTGCAAAGGCGACCAAAGTCTAGGTCATGGTCGTTCATGGGGTAACCACGGAGAGACCTGTCCATAGGCAGGTCCGAGCATACAAACTCGAGGTAAGTGCCTGAGGCTGGTACACACCCAGCCATGAGTGAATAGCGCGCATGCCACCGCTCCAGCATCGTGTTGGAGTAGGTGTAGGAGCCTCGGACAACCTGAGGCAGCGGTTTGGTGAGAAGACACCAGGCTCAGAATGTCGGCTGTCGCGACCCAATCCCCATCTTGATCTAATAATCCAGCCGTTCAGTGGGTGTAACCTCAGCAACAAGACAGAAATTTTGACAATAAGCAGGCTCAACATCCTGCGCCTGATTTCAAGTACGTATGAAGGCTCTCCAAATATCAACATCCGTTTCCATTGACATGTCTGTTCGAGTCGAGGCATCCGTAGTTTGGTCCAATACAGCTTATTAAACTCTGACTTTGATTTACATAAATATTCACAGAAATCTCAATTCCTATCTTGTCCCAAATTTGGCTGATTTCGTGGTCTATTCTTGCTCCACGCAATGCACCAAGTTCCTGGTTAGTAGACCATCAGATCGTCAGATTCGGGACATCGAACAGAACGTCACCTGCAAACCACTGTCGAAAGAAATGCCGTCGAAAGAGAAAAGGTTTGCTGGCAGATGGAATATACCTGCCTGCCTTCCGCACGTTCGAGTTGAGGATGCTCGCGTCGTTAGGAGCCAATGCGTCTGCTTTCAACAGACTCAACTAGCCCAACACCAGGCAGGTCGGTCAACAGTGTGTTCGGCCTCCGTTTCAGATGTGCCGGTCAACAGCGTGTTCGGCCTCCGTTTCAGGTATGTCGGTCAACAATGTGGTCAGCCTCCGTTTCAGGTGTGTCGGTCGACAGTGTGTTCGGCCTCCGTTTCAGGTGGTTCGGTCAACAGTGCGTTCGACCTTCGTTTCAGGTGTGTCGGTGAGCAGTGTGCTCGGACTCCGTTTCAGTGGAGGTGGCCTTATCGGCGTCTGGTCCACCTGACTCAAGTAAATGCATCCGCCACAATATGCCGGTAACGATACGAACTTTACCGTTGCGATGTCAGGCATGTCGCAAATAAAGGCACTGCTCCACATTTTAAAATATTGGACCAGGCATCAAATATGACGGAAAAAGCTCACTTATAACTCTAGGCATTTTAAAGTGGAAAAGACCCCTTTAGATAACACAATTTCTGCATTTAGTATGCATGCTCCCCAATGAAGCATTGCTTGATTGCGTCATCGTACCTTGCACACCAAATGAGCGCCCACTGGCGGCTGTTATATCTGCAAATCGTTCTCACGCACGTCAAATGTGCATAAATCAACAAGTATATTTTGCTTGTCCTTGATCGCCGCATTTCCAGCGGAATGGTACGACTTGAAGGGCGTTATTATGGAGTCAGGGATGCCATGGTGACCTTAGAACAGCCCGCACAAAATAGTCTGCACATCTTCGCGAGCGTGTACCTCAGAAACTAGAAGATTTCATATTTTCAGAACAGCAGGAGTTGCAAACTGCACCGAATGATCTTCAAGATGGCTGCTTTAGTTCCAAAGACCCTTAAAATTAAAAGATTTGAGAGAGAGAGAGAGAGAGCCTTCTTTGGAGTTATCGTAAAAACACTCTGCAATACATCGGTGGGATTATAAATCAGAGGGAATGGCACTACAAAGTGCGTAATAACCATAATTGATGTGCACAATTACGCACACCGTGCCACAAACAAGTTACCTTGATCACATTTAAAACAGAAAACACACGGTCAAAACTGTAAGCTGCATTGGCACCTTTCGCTTTAAATGTGTCGGGGCCCATGCATAAACAAACAGGCTGAACGGCCCAACGATACCGCTGCGCGTGTAAAGGCGAGCCCTTGGCGTCTTTGACAGCTCACAAAGTTTTGATTCGTGCGCGGAAACCCACGCCGCTAGATGTCCGTGGCTTCCAATGTTTAGAACAACGTATCCCCATTCAAATTGCATATTTCAAGTTAGCACACGACGTGTGGGAGAAGTGGCTTAGTCACAGCCCGCGAGGTGAATATTCTGGCCACATGTGATAGCATAAAGGGAAAGGCAATTATGCAGAAAATAGCAGGCTTTGAATGCGCTGTGAACGGCGAGCTCGATGAGGAAATCCCGCCACTAACCTTTTTTCAAACATTTTGACATTAAAGAATATGAGCTGCTGCGAAAAATTCCAGAATCATCCGAATCGATAACCCAAATTTGACGTGCCTTATCCAGTTATGCATGCGTGCATACACATCTCTCACTGAAAGCCGATACTGTAACTTTACACACCGAGTCGAAATAGGCTAGCCGCGCCAGAAAAGTGTGTGTTCAAAAGGTAGAACGCATAACTGAGATGCACCGTCTAATTCGGCCCCTCCATAGCGGCGCTGTTGTTACGCTCACTAAGAGCCGTTGCGGAAACATTTGCAATAAATTAATTTAACACCCCCAACATAGTTTGTACTGAGCCATTTAATCACAACTACATTCAACTTTGTAACTGGCTGGGACAGGCCAGCGCCGCAGCCTCCGGTACGGGGTAGGGGCGGCAGAGAGGGGGGGGGGGGGGGCGGACAGCACTCACCTCCTGAAGTCCTTGCTCCAGCACGCATAGATGACCGGGTTCATGGCCGAGTTGATCCAGCCCAGCCAGGTGACAATCGTCAGCACCAGGTCCGCGTGGGCGATGCAGTCGTAGCACACGCCTGACAGCAGGTTCACGATAAAAAACGGCAGCCAGCACACGATAAACACACCCATCACGATGCCCAGTGTCTTGGCCGCCTTGCGTTCTTTGGCGAACTTGGCCAGCTTGCGGCTGAAGGAGAAGTTCTTCACGTGCTTGGCTGACAAGTTGGCCCGTGACGATCCAAAGCCGTCCGGGCCGGTGAAGGCCGCCGAGTCGTCGTCGGGCTCGGGGCCGGCCTGGTCCAACCGACCGCTTCCGCCGCCTCGGTGCATCCGCAGAGTCAGGCCGTGGCCGCCGCCGTTCACGCTCACCTGCTTGGAGCCGAGCTTGAGGCAGCGCATCTGCTCCGTGGCGGCACGGTAGATGCGGAAGTAGACTATCAGCATGATGAGCAGCGGCCCGTAGAAGGAGATGATGGAGGAGAAGGCGAGGTAGCCGATGTTGTCGGTGAAGACGCACACGCCGTCGGCGGAGGGGCTAGAGACGGCGCGCCACCAGGCGATGGCCGGGAACGAGATGAGACTGGCGCACACCCAGACCAGAGCGATGAGAGCACACGCCGTCCGCTCTGTCATCTTGTTCGGGTACGTGAACGGGTCGCGGATGGCCCAGTAGCGGTCCAGTGAGATCACGCACAGGTTCAGAATGCTGGCCGTCGAGCCGAGCACGTCGAAGCTGTGCCAGAGGTCGCACCAGACCGGGCCGAACATCCAGAAGTTGTCCGTGGCCACCAGGGACGCGCCGAACGTCATGACAAACGCGCCCACGATCGTGTCCGCCACGGCCAGCGACATGATGAAGTAGTTGGTGACCGTGTGCAGCACGCGCTCTCGCACCACAGCCACAATGACCAGCAGGTTCCCCAGGATGACGAAGATGCAGAAGAAGTAGAGGCCCACGGCCAGCACCAAGTTGGGTGCGCCGAGCGGCGGCATGGCCCCCTCGCCCGACTCCGAGTCGTTGATGGCCTGCGGGATGGTGCTGAAGTTAACCGGCTGCGGGGCCGCTCCCTCGGTCTCGTTGGCAGCCGGCACCAGCGGCGCGGACATCTCGCCCCGCCGCGCGCGGCAGCCGCCCGCGAGCCACTGGCGCCGCGCTGCTGCCGACCGCGGCGCCGGCGGCGCACACCGGACCGCGCCGCGCGGGGGCACAGGGGCGGGGCAGGGACGCCGACGAGACGCGGCGGGGCGTCGGCGGCGCATGATCCAGACGGAGCGTAGCGGCCGCTGATGGCCAGCCTGGGTGGCTGAGACGCGTCCGATCTCAGCCGGCCGGCGGCGGGCCAGCGGCGCAACCGGCTCGGCCCGGGCCGGGCAACACCTGTCTGACGCCCGCTCGGTGCCCCACGAAAGGGGGGGGGGGCTCGGCAAACGGAGCAGCAGGTAGGAGGAGGGGACGAAGGAGCTATGGTGGGAGAGGGTCCCAGGCGGCAGGTAGGAGGAGGGGACGAAGTGGCTGCGGTGGGAGCGGGTCCCAGGCGGCAGGTAGGAGGAGGGGACGAACGGGCTGCGGTGGGAGGGGATCCCAGGCGGCCGGTAGGAGGAGGGGACGAACGGGCTGCGGTGGGAGCGGGTCCCAGGCGGCAGGTAGGAGGAGGGGACGAACGGGCTGCGGTGGGAGGGGATCCCAGGCGGCCGGTGGGAGGAGCGGACGAACGGGCTGCGGTGGGAGCGGGTCCTAGGCGGCAGGTAGGAGGAGGGGACGAAGGGGCTGCGGTGGGAGCGGGTCCCAGGCGGCCGGTGGGAGGAGCGGACGAACGGGCTGCGGTGGGAAGGGGTCCCAGGCGGCAGGTGGGAGCGGGTCCCAGGCGGCCGGTGCTGCCGCCGCGGCGCCCGACGAAGACGCCGTTTCTGGCTGTAAGGGAGAGTGCCGACACGTACCGAGATTAGAAGACAGAACGCGACCCACAGCCGGCTGTTCTCCACTATTCCCACTTTGGAGTGTTCCAGGTCGCGCGATTATCAACGAAAGGTGGTAGGTCTGTATCTTACCAAGGTTAACAAGGTTCTGTTCCTTAACAAACAAATGCACGGCTGCAGCAGTTGTAAACGGGGACATGAAGGGAGACGAAACTGATTTAGTGACAATCTGTCTCCGTGTAGTGGTGGACATAATTATAGATCGATGATTGGTTTCTTTGTTTTCTTCCCGATGGTACTCTGCATTACTTGATATAAGCAGTTCAGCCCCGAGGAAAATCAGTCCTTTTATCGCACGTCGAGCAAGATTCAACATTTCGCAGGCATCTATGGGTGACAAAGGAGGTTGAGCAGTGAGCGGTCACTTGTTTCCTTACGTGTTTTGACTTGTGATGATTCCATATTCCGTCACATTTCACCGTGTTTGGTATGTTTATGTGACGTCGCCGTTTACCGCTCTGCAAGCCTACTTCGGCCTAGCATGTTACATGCAATTTGGCTTAGCATGTTATAAGCTGACGAAAAAACATGAGCTTTTGCATCGTAACCGAACAAGTTCTCGCAGAATTTCACGATTCGCGTCCTTGCATCACAACAAGTGACCAGTTTTCTGCTCCCAAAATCAAAGATGGCAGGGGCGTTGATCGTACAGTTGAACACGAAGTTGACGTGCTTCATTGCAGGCGACTGTATGGGTTAAACTGGCATTTACATACACTGGGCTAAGAAAAACGCAACAGATGCGGTCGTATCAAATCCAATACCCTCCCCCGCTCCCCCCCCCCCCCCCCCCCGGCACCACCCATAGCTTTCATTGGCTGCTCAGATCACCTGCAAGCAAACCAATTTTGTACGAGCTCCGCAGCAGCATCTGCTATAATAACTCGTGGTCTGCAGTGACCATTACATAGGTGCAGCACAAACAGCAGATGCATGTTGTGCGGGACGGCGGTCAGTCTAATAAACCGAGAGGCGACGTGGTTGATCTGCGCCACCGTATCGCACGCGGCCACTGGCGTCGGCCTCCGCTCGTGCTCAGCTCGCTGCTCGGGAAGTCGGCCTCGCGCGATAAGGAGTCACGCAGCGGGCTCCTGGCGACGGATATTCATGGACGCTGTCAGCCATGAGACCCGTGGCCATCGAAACACGCAAGGTAGTCCATAGAGATAGCCGTAATGAAAATGATCAGCTGGGAATAATGGTGACGCCGACAGGGTTTTCTTTAAATATGGGACATTTATACTATTGATTATGGGTGAAACTTGACATTCCTTAGGAATGTTTTCCTCCCCTATCCCTTATCCTTTCCCTCGGCCCCGCCCCCACATCCCCAATCCCACTCCGCCACCCTTCTTTGCTTCGGCCCTCAACACTTGCCCTAAAGAGCAAAAGGTAATACAAACCACAGCAAATATCAAAACTTGTATGTTTGAAAAGACCTGGTCTCCCCAAATGCTATTCTATAAAATCCTGTTTATGCTATTAATGGGTGTGATTGTTGTATGTTTTCTAGTGATTATTGGATGCATTGAAAGGCCATTCGTGATAAATGGGACAATGCGAGCGTTTTCTGTCAATTATCACGTTTTGATGTAGCAAAAAAGGCGGGCAGCTGGATAACTAACTCTAATCTGTTTCGTCATGCTGAAGATAACAATGTACATGTTCAGCATGTGCAACAGCCGTGTGCCTAAATGCTGCTGCTGTTATAAAGATACCAAACACCTTGCTCTGATGTCACAGCCCGAAATAACAAATACGTTTGACCGGTGATATTCTGGCTATGGAAGATTAAGGTCACGCCAGATCAACTATCTATATTTTCCGCAATAGTAAATCGATAGCGATGCAAGGTCGAGATCATAATACATGAAAAAATGATAGCATGCATGAGCTTGGACAGATGTGCTCTGTAAGAACACATAGGGAAAAATGGGAGAAAACTCGACTGTCCTATGCCTCGTCAAGTCAACCACAAGAAATAACTTGAACCGAGTTTTAGCCCACTTGTAGAGCTACCCTGCCGTGTTTGAGATCGTTCCTCGATCACCATTTGTGAAAATGATAAGAGGGTCTTACCCATCCCTGTTACGCTGGCAAACGTGGCTATGCCTCCGAATCTGACGAACTCAAAACGCTAACACGTGGTGATTCAGCTCGATAAACCCACGTATGTGCTGTCGTATGACTTAAGCATTTATGTGCTGTGGTAATATGTCTTCAGAAGGTCAAGGGGCTTCAAGCTGTTCAGCTGCGCACTATGTGGTGCGTTGCCCGGAGACGTCAGTGGCCTACTTCAAGGTGAAATTGCCTTCACGGTGCCCCAAGGAGCATGCCAGGCTGTTAAGTCCCCCCAAAAGTTAGCTCTTGAGCAGGAACTAGCGGCTGAAGCTTGCCAAAAGGTCCGTAGACGTTATGGGGTTCACTAACAGTTCCGTAAGTCCTGACGCGATCGGTACATCTTGGCTGTTTCGCGAACATGTTACATTGACGCGTACTGGGGCGTCAAGGCGCTAATTAATGGCGTCTTTGTTGTTTTGTTTTTAGGGGGAACCTTTGCCTGCTTTGGTCTGCTAGCCCCGTGTGGTTATCAGGCAGTGGCTGGTGCTTTGAATACATCTGGTGGTAATTTGGGCCCCCACGACATTTCACGGGCTTCTTAACTGTCTGGCGTCATATAGTGCCGCTGGATTTATAAAGCGAAGGTAGGACGTACAATCGTAGCGTGTAAACAGATAGGTCGGAACCTGCTTATTTCTTCCAATGTATCATGTCTATTAACAATTTGAACAACCAAGTGCCAATTTCAATCAAAATCGATCTTGGTTCAAAGGTTAGCTCACACGGTGCAAGTTCAAAATGCTTCTGCCTGAATAGTATATGTTCAGCTTATAAAAGCCGGCTAATGGCTTTGAACTTTGGGCTCCCAACGGTTACTGGGCTGCTGAGGCTTCTCAGCAACCTCTATACCTACCTCCCTGAGGCTGCTGATCTCCCTTGAGTTTTCTTCTTTCACTGAACTCTGAGACGGTATGAGAGACATCCCGTACAATCTTGGAGCTCAGTGACCATTCAGAACAGTGATGCTTGTCCTCGGGAATGTGCTTGGCCGTGTAAGGGCTCCTGTTTGCTGTTTGTGGTCCGTTGCACTGCAGAGTCCTCTTGTCCCTCTATAATGCTGCCAGAGATCGGCAGGGCGCACCAGACCATCGAAAGCTCGCCAATTCACTGTCGTCAGGCAAGCTCGTCGATCAGGCCATTATGCCATGGGGCACGTGCCGGGTGATTAGTCCAAGATATACGTGCTGGGTGATGGTGCCGTGAGGCACGTGCTGGGCAGTGGTGCCCTGAAGCACGTACTGGGCGATGGTGCCGTGAGGCACGTGCTGGGCAGTGGTGCCCTGAAGCACGTACTGGGCGATGGTGCCGTGAGGCACGTGCTGGGCAGTGGTGCCCTGAAGCACGTGCTGGGCGATGGTGCCGTGAGGCACGTGCAGAGCGTTTGTACTGGTAAGGACTCTTTATAGCGCACTCATACATCACATTTCATTACCTGATGCGCGTAGCAGGCTGTCTGCGCGACACACGATTTGCTCCAAGGTGGACGTAATTTCTTCAGACCTTCTGTCTTCATGGCGAGTACAAAAGCACAGTTCCGTTCGCAGATCGTACAAACACCGTCCATTGCTCGGTCTGATGAACGCTCGCATCAGCTAGCGCAGTGATACTTCTGTCCTGCCAGCGTGGTGCGGCATTCAGCACGGGCAGCAATAATGCAGTGTGTAGCTTTCCACCCCATTTCGTAGATGTTGGAAAAATAGGTTCGAGCCCGTATGTTTGGACTCATATGTTTGGACCCCAATGTTGGAGCATAAAGGTTCGAATTGAAATGTTTAGGAATGACAACATTCGATATCCTCGAAATTTGTCATCATGCCATTTTTTCACCAAACCTGCAGACGTTCATGGGTGCTGACCGCGAAATTGTCAGTTTTAGGCACTTGTTTGCGAGCAAATGGTCGTGGCCAATTGCTGATATCATTTTCGCCAATATGCAAGGTTT